CCCCAAAACCCCAAAACCCCAAAACCCCTTATTTCGTAAGTGAAATAGAATAGTTTTTATAATTATATAAAATAATGGAGCTACTTGATTTACAAATATTAGACGATTTTAATAAGGCAAACGAGAAGGCAGAGAAGACAGTTGAGGAATTGTTTAAAGAGGAAATTGAAAGGACTGAGAGAGTGACTGAGAGGTTTTATAAGAGTTTGGATGAACTTATGGATTGAAAAGAGTATATTGAAAATAAGGAACTTGTTGGTGCTGGTTTTGGTAAGATTATTAGTTTGAAGGTTATAGAATTTGATTTTACATGCTTGGCTTTTTGGATTTTTAAATTTTGATAAGTTTGAAATGGATTTTAATTATTTTTGTAGAGGAAATTAGAATCATTGTGGATGAACAATTTGGTGCAATTCAAAATATTAAAAAGAACTTTTATAACTCACAAGAGGAAACCAAAGAGCAAGAAGCTCATGATTACAACATCTCAGCTATCGGCCAAATGCTTTACTTAATGAATGGAGTACTTGCATTGCTAGCCAACGCAATGGATTTATTTATGAATCAAAAGAAAGAAGGGGCTGGAAGTGATGAAAATCTAGTGTAAGCTCTTGTCTCAAAAATGTGGTGAATTAATGATAAACCCCATCATTTTCTCCAAGCACTCATCTTCTTGAAGGATGAATTATCCTCCAGATGGGCTATTAGCCATAGATTTTAATAAATATGAAGTTTGATATTCCTATGAATAGTCATCATGCTTATTAGAGTTTTAAATCCTTTTAAGGGAAAATCTAACTGTACTATAATAGAGCTATTTCTGAAAGCCCTTCAGATAGTCCAGGACAGACCCTAGACAAGGATGAAGCCCTTGTGGACATCATGTACCTATCAGCCCTGGTGAAATATTCCCCTGAATTATTCACTATGGCTCTAGAGAGTTCAAATTATGATTTCCTCTGTGATAGGACCCTTCCTGAATGGAAAGAGATCCGCAAAATTCATAAAATAGTCAACTTTGACAAAAGTGGTAAGACTAATTCTTTACCATTACAGACAAATTTGGCAAAGAAACGGTCAGAGAATCCAACCAAGCCTTTATTGGCTGGCTTTTGTATGTGAAGGCTACTCTCAGTCAGCAAAATACCTCATCTAATAAGCTTTCCAAGTTTTTTAAAACAATGACTTACGGGACTTTTTATATGTTCAGTGTCGAAAAATGAAGGAAGCAGTGAAAACTCAGGTAAATTTCCTTCTAATTTCAGCCTCTCTAAAGATACAGTTGAAGAAGCAAGACAGATCTTGAACTTATTGGATGACAAATATGTATCTTTTGCGACTAAAATCTCTCATAAATCTATCAAATTTCATAAATTATTGTTCGTGCCAAAGACTGAGAATGACTTTGAGTCGATCCTACAAGCCTCTGAAGGAGACATGCCTAGTTATAGTGAGTACTGCTCCCAAGATAATAGGCAGATCCCTGTAGATGATTGTGATCCAGAACAGACTAAATTCCATATGGACATTGATAATTTTGATCCTGAGACTCATGTCCAGGTCAGGCTGTTGTGAAACTGTGAACTTCCTTATAATTTTGAGAAGAAACAAGTAATGAAGGTTTCAGATTTTCAGACTTCCTCTTTTCAAAAATCATTTGCATGACTCTCATGAATTGGGTCTAGAGAGCCGTATAATAATTTTCCTGAGGTTGATGAAATTGTTGTACATATCCATGGTGGAGGATTTGTTGGAATGAGCTCAAATGGGTATCAAAATATCACAAGAAAGTGGGCAAGCAGGATCAACATACCTATATTCTCCATCGATTATGGATGTGCTCCTGAACATCCATATCCCAAAGGACTTGAAGATTGTTGGCAAGCCTATAGATGGATAGTATTGCATAGCAAAACTCATCTTGGGATATCTCCCAACAAAATTATCTTAGTGGGTGACTCCGCAGGAGGCAACTTCTGCTGAGGTGTGACTATTCTAGCCATACAGAATAACTTTAGAGTACCTGACTGACTTATTCTGCCCTATCCTGCAGTGGACCTCTCTGTTAAGAGGTTCTATCCTTCTTATATTTATGGAATCAATGATTTTATGCTGAACTTGATCATGCTGAAAATTTATCAAGGAGCTTACTTGACAGAAGAAATTGATGGAGAGAATAATCCTCTGCTTAGTCCTATTCAGGCCTCTGACAATGTTCTTGAGAGATTCCCCAAGGTTAGGATCTTAGTTGGGTCCTGAGACCCTCTTCGAGACCAATCTTTTAGGTTTGTGGATAGGTAAACCAACATTAACATCTTTAGACTCTTAAAAGTATCAGGAAATGTGAAAATAGTTGAGTATGTAAACTACCCTCATGCATTCTTAAACTTTCAATCTCCTGTCTGATCCCTTAAAGGATCTGGAATCGCTAACAAGCAGATTTGCACTTGGATTGAAGATGCCATATTGGCAAACAGGATTGATAAAAGAAAGGGTCGGGAAAAGACTAAATTTTAAGTTTCAGTCACCTCCATTTTCTGAGGGGTTTTGGGGTTTTGGGGTTTTGGGG